ATATTTTGCGCACGAATTGATATAAAAAAATACAAATTTCAGAAACATAATATTAAATATTACTTTATACAGGTATAAATAAGTTACATGAATAAAATGTGAAATTTCTCTTTGCAGATGCAGTTTCCGAAAATGTTCATTATCCACCGCCGACGCGTGAAGAATTTTTTAGAGAAATTGGAGAAGCGGTCCGTTTCGGCAAACAAAGATATCGGAATGCAATTTCTCGAAAAACTGCAATTGAGATAGGTCGTCGACAAAGAATGCGTCATGCAGCCAATGAGCTCCTTGAAATAAGGAGATTAGAAAACGATATTTTGATTGCAGAAAAATAAATAATAATAATTATTATATATAATACAAGTTATATTTAATAAATATAAATTATATTATTCTATTTCAAATTTTATATATTGTTTATATAATAATATACTTCAAATTTTATTTTCCTTCTTTCTCAACTCTTTATATTGAAAACTTATATTCCTATACATATTGTAGATTTGGATGAATTTGTTCAAGAATTACGCGTATTGATCAGTATGTTGGATCAAATAATAAAATCTTGTTTCAAATGTTATATAGTTTCAGTACGGCTTTTTAATGTGCACAAATTCATTAAAATCTACAATTATTGTACGATTCATGCGGTGAATTTCTGTGAATCTCATTTAGTTAAATCAAAAATATAAAAACCGTATTGTGTATATAATAAAAACATTATGTTAATGTCGTATTTCCGTTGAAAAGATCTTATTTATTCACATAAAATTTACTGTTCTAGGACAAATACCGCAATAATGTAATCTTATTAATTTACAAGATTGTGTGCGGTTTTTGTTCTAGAATATTGAATTTTTATGTTAATAAATAATATCTTTTCAACGGAGAGACGATATTAACATGTTATTATCAAACACGATTTTTATATTTTTGCAATTGCATGTTGTCATTAGTTGCTGTCAACATGCTGTTTATTACGGATATCACATCATGATGACATATTGCTGTCATGTTGCCATCAAGTTGCCGTCAACATGCTGTTAGACGCGGATAGCAAACGGATGAAAATAACTGCCATCATGTTGCTATCATACGTACATTCGTTGCGTATAACAAAAAGATCGGAAGAGCACACGT